GAATGCAGTATTGCAGGCTAATTCTGCCCACTGCCAACAGTTTGAATCTCACCAGGCTCAAGATTTTGACTCAGCCTTCTGTCCTTCCGAGGTGGGTAAAATGAGGATCCAGATTGTTAGGGGAAATAGGCTGACTGTGTAAACTGCTTAGAGAGGGCTATAAAACACTGTGAAGTGGTATATACGTTTAAGTGTTATTATCCTTCCTTCCTTCCTTCCTCCTTTTCCTTCCATGTTGCAATGGTTAGAATTCAGCATTGCAGGCTAATTCTGCCCACTACCAACAGTTCAATCCTGACCAGCTCAAGTTGACTCAGCCTTCCACCCTTCCGAGTAAAATGGGGACCCAGATTGTTGGGGGCAACAGGCTGACTCTGTAAACTGCTTAGAGAGGGCTATAAAGCACTGTAAAGTAGTATTCTATTCTAAATCTAATCTTATTCTATTCTATTAATTCTAATCTTATTCTATTCTATTCTAATTCTAATCTTATTCTATTCTTCTATTCTTATTTTAAGTCTTCTGTGACAATGTGGTTTATTCAGTAAAATTTTATACTATTGGGGAAAAAATTATGTCCCGGGAGTTTCTCTTTCTAGATTTGCCAACTGGACAGTACAGTTCACTGTTGAATTTTTGTTCCATTTTCCCCAATCCGAACCACACCTTAAAATGTGTAAAGCACATTTCTTCTAGCTCAGCCCTGCCTTTTAAAGACATGCAACCACCTTGAGATGTTGCCTGCTCTGTCCACGTTGGCTTGCCCACACGTGACCCCCCCCCCCCCCACGCCAGATAATTGTGAGGTCTCTCCTGCCCACATAGTTAAGCCTCTGTAATCCGTCCATAGTATCTTAAGACCTCCCTTGCACCCCTGGGACAGGACAGTGACATCCTCCTTAGAGTGCAAAGCATGAAATAAAGACTTGGAAGATCTCTGACAAATAGGTCACTTAAGGCTTCCTGGGTTTGCATTGATGGATTAGCCTCCTCTAAGCAGCTCTCTTTGGGTAGCTTCGTCTTCTACATTAATTCACGAAATGTCAGCTTTCAAAATACATCTCGCTTGGCACAATAAAAAGTTAAAAACACAAAGAGAGACGGCTGCGCAGCTTTTCAAGCGGCTGTGTTTAAAACTGGCACAGAAAAAGCAAAACCCACATTTTAAAAATAAAATAAAATGCTTTTGTGTTGTTAAAAAAAACAAAAAACACCAACCCAAACAATTGCGTGGCCGTTCAGTTTCCCTGTTTAGGTAAAGAAATGTCTCAAACAGAAGGAGATACAGGTTGCCTAGGAGTTTTTCGAAGTGATTTTAACACCGCAAACAGAAGGGTTGAAGGTGACCTTGAGGTGATAAAATAGGGAGGTATTTATGGCAGGTGATCTGCAATGCTTCAGATGGTCACTCCTTTTCAAGTGTGGATGCTTTGAGGACTTCTCTTTCCAAGGAAAAAAGTTGGCAAGCATAACTTAAAGATGTTTTATGATGCTTCTCCTCTTTCGATCCAACTGTGGGTTTTTTTGTTTGTTTTTTTCAGCCCAAATTTGTAGGGCTAGAAAGAACGGCGGCCCAGAACTTCAGGCAAACTCTTTTCAAGCCTGAGTAGGAATCCCAGTAGTCCTTGACTTACAACAGTTCATTTAGTGACCGTTTGAAGTTACAATGGCACTGGAAAAAGTGACTTAGGAACGGTGTTTGATTCACTTAACCGTTGTGGCAAGGAAGTTTGTAAACTGGGTCAAAACACGTTTCGCTTAGCGACTGAAATTGGGGGCTCAATTGTGGTCATAAGAGGAGGACTACCTGTAGTGGATCTGGATTTAGTTCCATCTGTACACTAAGCCAACAGCTGGCCTCCGTGTTTCACGTTTCCTTCACACAACCCGAAGAGCAGGAACCTCAGATAATTGGAAAACAATATTCTTGTGTGCAATCAACGTACAGACAGCCTGGGTCATATTGCGTATGGTGGAAACGTAGAAAAACCCAGGAGTTTTGGCACATAATCCAGAGGTGGCTTGAAGGGATGGTAAAGCCATGATGGGGTACCTGTGGCACGCAAAGCCATTTGTGTGGGCACACGAGCCCCAGTCAAACTTAACCTGCACTACGCATGTGTGCGCCTCCCAGCTGATTTTTAGCCCGTTTGAGGCTGTTTCATCCTCCCGGAAACTCAAGGGAAGCCTCTGTAGCCTCCAGAGGCTGGAAAAATGGCCTTCTGGAAATACCAGAAGTGCCGAAACGGGCCCATTTTCAGCCTCCTGAGGCTGCAGAGGCTTCCCGGAGGGCGAAAACAGCCTCAAACAGACCGAAAATCAACTGGGAGGTGCAGGCCTGCGCAGTGCAGGTAAGGGGGAGGGGCGGGCGCATGTGCAGGGGCGCATTGCATTGTGGGTATACCCGCACACACATGCGCTTTTGAGACACAACAAAAAGGTTTGCTATCACTGTGGTAGGGCATAAAGTGGAATATAAACTGGGGTTTTTCTTACTCGGAATTATAACAGAAAAATATAATAAAGAGGTGATCTATTTAATAATATATGTGATCACAACAGCAAGGTCGGCCTTTGCTCAAAAGTGGAAAGATAAAGAAATTCCCAATGAAAGCGAAGTAATTAAAAAAAAAAAAAGAAATGGACTTGCGCTGAGATGGATAAATTAACTTTGGAAATGAAAAATAAAGACGAGACAGAATATTAGAAAGTATGGGATAAATTTTATCAATGGGGGGCAGGGGGGGGAAGGAAGGCTCCAGAAACAAAAGCCAGCAGGGTTGGCAGAACAGATGATTAGAAATAGAAAATAATGTATAAATGTATATAAAACATGTATTCCAGTGGTAGGATTCAAACTTTTTTACTACCGGTTCTGTGGGTGTGGCTTTGTGGGCATGGATTTTTTGTGTGGCAGGGGAAGGATACTGCAAAATCCCCCTTCCCTCCCCACCCCACTAACCTGATTTCCAGTTCTGTTCTCCTCTGCAGGGCAACCAAAGAAGACCCAGACGATCAGCTGGGACTCAATGGGAGGCAGAGAAGAGATGGGGTTGGTGGGGCCAGTCACAGAGGTGGGATTTGCTGGTTCTCCGAACTACTCAAAATATCCACTACCGGTTCTCTAGAACTAGTCAGAACCGGGTCAATACCACTTCTGATGTCTTCTATGGCATATGTCTGACAAACAGGGTTGTCGGGAGGATTAAACCACGTCCAATGTTTTTAACAACTTATTCAATAAAAATATATTTTAAAAAAAAAAAAAAACATACAGGCAGCCCGGCAGTGGTGGAATTCAAAATATTTTACTACCAGTTCTGTGGGCACGCGCACACACCGAACACACACAGTTTGCGTGCGCGTGGAACATTCTAAAACCGGCCATTTTAAGCATGAAAACTTAACGTCAGCGCCGGTGAGTAAAACAGCTCGGGTACAGCAATTCGCGCCTATCAGCTGAGCTACAAATATAGGGCAGGAAAGGGCGGGCACGGGTGTGCAGGGCCAAGTGCTGATTAGCACTACCGGACAGCTAGAACCGGTGCGAACCGGCAGCAGACCACCATTGCAGCCCCGGTTCCGTGCCTTCAATCATGGCCAAAATTCATAGCTCCTGGGTACGCGAAGATCCTTTCTGAACCCGCAAAGTCAGGGACGAGTATTTGCACAAGCAACTTGGGACTTCACGCCATCCCTGAGGTGGGCCACCGACAAATGTTCTGAAAGACTCACCTAGGGGCTAGCCGAGGGGGATTTGCTAGAGGCTGTTTTGCATAGCCGATGCTTTCCATTTGCTCCCTGATCACGTCCAGCAAGATGTTGATTAGCTCCTGACTGGAATTTAAACAAGGTCTCCGAGCCCCAAACTATGCCAAAATCAGTCCGCTCTCCAAATCTCAACGGCTGCCATGTTGTTCTCAGCCATGTCTTCAGTGGAGGGGGGGGGGGGGGGGGGGACGAATCTTATTTCTATAAACGTGCTAACGGCTCATTTACAGCCAACCCTGCTGAGAAAAGGGGGAAGGGAGAGGCAGTGGCAATGTTGTGCTCGCCACTGTTTGAACTTGTTCTGAAGAAAGAAAGAAAGAAAGAAAGAAAGAAAGAAAGAAAGAAA